AGAAGAGGAAAAAATACAATGTACCTGTCCAGGTAGGAGATTTTCCTGGAAGCTGACAGCCACGTGGACAAGCAAAATAGCAGGGATCAGTCAACACTCACCAGAACAAACTTAAATCACTTCCAGAGTTTGTTTTAATGTGCAAACTCATTTTTGAAGAGAACTTAGTTCCTGTCAAAAGGGAAAACGGCCCTGTAGCTGAGGATACAGCAGTACTCATGGAACAAGCAGATCATGGACAACAGTAGTAGGCGGCTTCCCCAGCTATGTGCAGTAAGGTAACCTGAAAGCATGCTTCCTAGGAAGTAGAGATGGTTGGAATATACTATTCCAGATATGCTGTTGTGGGTATATATTCCCCAATATACAACAACTCTGTGGGTACAGTGATCTGCCTCAGCCAATTAACCCTTCCATAAAAGAATTACTGGTTTGAATTGGCAACTTAGTGGTGAAACATCCTATTTGTGGCATGACTCAAGTGCCTTGTAACACATTGGTGCTTCTGTTCAAATGTTCTCATTTAGCATTGTCCTGGTTCATGTCAGAACACAGCTCTGACTATTCGCTGTATTTGCTACAGATGTCCTGCCACCCGGAGCTGAATCAGTACATCCAGGACACGCTGCACTGTGTAAAGCCGCTGCTCGAGAAGGTAAGGTCGTATTGGGGACCTGGGCAAAAGTGCTGTAAGTGGTTTTGATAGAAAGTAAGAGAACATAAATGCTGTCTTCATTGCAAAATTTATTTACAAATTTACTATGTACAATATACCAGCTGATACAGTTACTCACAAAAATAAACATAACATCCATAACCTTTCCTTGCAGTTAAGGCCCTGCCTTGCTGCTGATTATTGGCTTTGAGTTGCATCTAATACACGCACATGAGAATATACATCTATATATTTTCAGTTACATCATCCTACACGTCAGCATTCTGCTTCTGAATACATTTAAGTTTAAGCACCCATCTGGCAGACTAGTTGGAGTTCTTCGCTGTAAGCCAGCAAGCACAGGTAGGTTTAAAAATCTAGGTTCAAAAATCTAGGTTCTGTGAGAGAAAGGCAGGACCATATGGGACATTTCAGGATGGAGTATGCTGGCAGATTATGCACTTTCTGCTCTTTACAGACAACCTTAGTGCACATTTAGAGAATGGCAATAGGTCAGTTTTACATTGCGGTAGTACAAAGCTGCTATATTTGGCCAACAGTCATATCTTAACTTCCCCATCATTGTGCATTCCCAAGTGATGCAATGAGATGACTGTACATTTCCTCTTTTGCTCCAAAACAGTATCTAGAGAAATGTACTCTTTAGTGCGCTTCATCGCCCTAGGCCGTAGCGATAAGCTATCAGTTTAACGTCTCGCAAGAAAGGGCTTTGCAAGAGCATTTTTTCTGATGGGTAAGAATAACCCGACAGTGCTCAAGCTTTGGATAACTGCTAGTGCTGTGAGCCACAACAAATAAGCATCCTCCCACTTGATCAGAAGGGTGGGCAGAAGACAGCCTGTTTTAAGGAAGGGATTTTTCTATCTTTGTTCTTGCAGAATGATGTGGAGAAAGTTGTAGTTGTTATCCTGGATAAAGAGCACCACCCTGTGGAGCGATTTGTCTTTGAGATCACCCAGCCACCTCTTCTTTCCATTAGGTAAAGTTTCCATTACTGCTTGCCCATGGCATCCAACACCTGCCTCTGCAGAGGTGTTCTGGAAGCAGCTCCAGGCCCCAGTACTTTGCTGCATGCCAGTAACGACTGCTATCTCCTCAACAGTTCCGAGTCCCTGCTGTCCCACGTGGAGCAGTTACTGCGTGCCTTCATCCTGAAGATCAGTGTGTGCGACGCTGTGCTTGACAACAATCCCCCAGGTAAACACGTCCATACAGCCGAACAGCAGGGCATTGCTTGACTCGAGACAACAACAGGTAGCATCCGATTGTCTCTTAGTTGTCCCCTGATCTGGAGCCTACCATTTCTCATGCAGGTTGTACCTTCACAGTTCTGGTTCACACACGGGAAGCTGCCACACGGAACATGGAAAAGATCCAGGTGATAAAGGTGAGTGATATCTTTGGCTACCTGATTGCGTGCGAGCAACCTGCAGAGCAAAGACTGGAAATCAAAGTTAAGGCTGCTAGGTGTTTTGAACACGTATGTTAGCTTTACGCGATACACTTCATAACGTTGCTTTGAATGTGTTAAAATCGTTTACACTGGTGAGGTGACTGAGCACATTCACCACGCACCACCCACAATTGCAGACAATAGCTGCTTCAATGCCTGAATTAGACTGTAACAATACTTGCTGCATAATGCCTGCTCAGTCACTGAAAAGTACCGACACACAGAATAGGTACTTGAATTTAAGTAACAGCAACAAAAAAAACCCCTCTCATCCCACATCCACTATGTTTGGATGACTGATTCATTATAAATAGCAAGGAAGACTAAGATTCAAGTAACTAGTGGGTTTTGGGCGCATAAATACATTTTATCTTGCAGGAAAGTGTGTGCAGATCACTTTTTAAAGCAAGGTGTTTTTTTAAGAATCCTTGCTTAGGTACAGGGAAACTTTTTTCTCCTGAGCCAAGTTATTTTGGGTGTCCTAAGGCACAATAAATAAAGCTAGTGAAGTATCAAATTGTTTCAGAATGGAAGTCTGCTCTGTACTGCTCAGTAATGGAAACTGGTAGTATAGTAGGCCAACCTATAAACTTGCAAGGCAGGACAGAAATCCACACCCTGAGCATTTTGGAGTTGCAGTTAAACGCTGGTGTAATGAATATAAAACACTAGCTCATGACAGCTAAGAGCGTATCCTTTAAACAGGTGAGATGTCACCTTTGGAATAAGGAAAATGGGTTATAGTTTCATGCTGTAATTGAAGAGAATTTTGCCAAGTCTCAGGGCCAAGTGTGCAGTGTTAAGTTTTGCTGTTAGGAAAGGTTTGAGTTAACCCGTTTCTTCCCTCAGCCACTAGGTCTCTCATTCACTTAATCCTGACCTAGTGCTGAGAAAGAGAGCTCACCTTACAGAGTCTGCCAGCCTCTGCAAATAAAGCACCCTGTGTTCCTGCCCCTAGGATTTCCCGTGGATCCTCGCCGATGAACAAGATGTGCACATGCATGACCCCCGGCTTATTCCCCTGAAAACTATGACATCTGATATCTTAAAGGTGAGCAGAGCATTCTGGCCCAAGAGGTGGCTGAAACCACGTGTAGCTCTAAGCTTTGTCTACTCTGATGCCGGCTCTGCAGTTTTCTGTACGGGTAACAGTTCTGATTTTGCTGAGCAGTGTTATTGCTTAGTCTTGCAGATGCCTGGGCCAGTAATCAAACCAGGGCAAGACTCATAATGAAACAGGAATCCTGGTTATGGGGGGAAGGTACAAACTCTTCCCATTTAGCCTGTTGCAGACTTCTTCCATTCACCTACCTGCACAGCAAACGGAACGGATGCTTATTTCCCTCCTCCAGATGCAGCTATATGTAGAAGAACGAGCCCACAAAGGCACCTGATTTCAAATCTTCCTTGCCTTCAAGCCTCATCTGATCTTCCAGTGGAATAAGAGATCTCACAAACCGTACCTTGATAACTGTCTCTTCAGCTGGCCTTCTGGGTGAATGTAGAGCAGCTGCTGCCTCTTTATTTCAAGTGCTCTTACCACTGTATATAGAACTGACTTGGAATGTGGAGCCAGAGCCTGTTCCCATGTACGCTCACGTGTGAGAGTGAGTATAGGTTTTGTTCCAGTGAATCCCTGGGGGCAGGGGCAGGACAGAGCCAACTGCAGCACGCAGTCAGCGCTTTCTACAAATCCAGTTCTCGCCTTAACAGGGCATCGCCATTGCACAGTGGTAGCGATATCAGCGATCTGTTACATGCTCCTCTAGAGCAATGGACTCGTACTAAGGGTGAGTGAGGCCTTACGTAGTGTCTGTCCCAATAGTCTTCAATAAATATTAAGTTTTACCCCAGTTGAACTGGCCGAGTTCTGTCCAAACCAGCCCCTCTCCTTAACTGAGGATGTATTTTCATTTTGCATGGAGCTTTGTATTTTATGTGGAGCTTCCGCCACCTTTCCACACCTTTTCTGGAACATATGTGGGATCTGTCAGTTCCTATGAGAGGCTACACAACCTTGGTCTCTCCCCTTTCCATGGGAGCATGAGGAAGGTGGAAGGACACTTGCCAAACATCCTACTCCTAACAGAGAACAGACAAGGGAAACACCGTTAATCCCACACCTAGCAAAGGGGATGGAAAAAGGCTGTAGTATTGGCTCTACGCATACAGGAGCAGAGGATGTGATTCAGGGTATTTGAGCTGAGCCTGTTGGTCAGACAATTTGATAAGACAGCCAGTATAGTACCTCCCTACTTCCTCCAAGTAAAAAGTGTCAGAATACTATAGAACCGTGTTGTGCATTGCTTTAACGTTTTATATAGGATTAGACTGTTCAGTACAAACCAGGTACTTTGGTAGTACAAAGGTAGCATAGAAAAAGCCCAGCATAATCAAAAAAGACTTATGTTGTAAGGTAGCCACCTTAAGAAATTCCTTGTCTCCTGCTTCTCCAGCTGTTTATTCAAACAATGATGGGCTGTATTTGGTCAGGAAAGGTATGTACCATTTTGATCATACACACTTACAGAAACAGTAAGGAATTAGGTACCAGTGACACAGCGTTTATGAAAAAGGACTGACAGTTTCCTTATGTGATGAAAGACACATGTTTTTATGTATAATTAAACTGAAACAGGAAAATCCCATACAAAACACATCTCTGTAGCAGAGCAGAGAAATGAAACATTTTAGCCTTATCTTTCATAAGTTCCATAAATAAGAAATGGTTTCTATTTTAAGACTTAATGTTTGGCTGTAGCACAAGGACCTATTAACTTGAAGAGACAGATGTCATACTTAATTGTCCTAGTCTTCCTCCTGTGGAAGGGCACTAGTCATTGCAGTAACATCAATGGCACAGGAGGATGAAAGATGAAGGCAAAAGTCCTTCCAAAGGGCTGGGCCTGCAGAAGTTCTGCTGTGAACAAGGAGAACGAGGCTGCTGGTATTTGAGATCAACTGTGCAAGACAAAGCCAGGACACTCACCCAGAGAGTACAGACAAATAAGTGCACCTGAGACCACCTGGTTACAGTCCTGAGATAAAAGCAAACATTTATATTGTGCCTTCAGAACAATGTCAGGGGCCCAATGGTGATGCTGCTGTTTGTCACTCGGATCCCATACCATCCTGCCCAGAACTGGGTGTCTTGGCCTCCATGCTGAAACCAGATGTAACGAACTCCAGCTGGGTAATTCTGGAAGGTGTGAGAAATCTGGGGAGAAAGAAGAAATTTCCTCTTAGTTTGCCTAAATAAACCAGCACTGAACTAGAAGCTAGGACAACTACAGTATGCAAGTCTTAGTCTCAGGAAAAGCTCATTCTAAAATATCTTCATTGAAAAGTGCATCACACCCCTTTTTGAGGGATGGGAAAAAAGCCTCTCTTCTTATTCAGCCTTCTGCCCCGAAATCCTCTCCATGTCAAACATAACATTAAGCTTGATTCTTAGGTAGGTTTGTCATGTAAGCAACAACATAATGGCGAATCTACAGCAAATCAAACCAGTTAAACACGTTTAGCAGTTTAAGTTTAGCAGTTTAGCCTGCAATGCTTTAAATGACATCCACGCAGTAGTTTTAAAACAAAGCTTTTTGAGCCAATAAAAACAATAACTGTGCTCTTATAACTTAGTTATTTAGACAAAGACTTAAGTGAAAAGCAAACAATTAAAGAGACTGAGCTAAAATAACACAGAAGCCACTCTTTAAAAAGATACTCTTTAAAAAACCCTGGGCACCTACAAACCAAACCTAGCTCCTTCACGGCACTACTGCTTCTTCAGCATTGTCAACAGCAAGGACATACCTGACCTTTTGTATTGAGTAGAGGGGGCTGAAGAGCAGAGAAAGTAGGTCCTCTTGGGACTTTTGGCCAGGTAAGACTTGCCAGATTCGAGTGTCACGATGCTGATGTAAAGCTACTGCCCCCACAGGGCTGCTGCTTACCTCTCTCCACACTGCATCGTTCCACTGCTCGATAACCACTGGCTCGGGGTGGAACTCCTCAAGGACGATGTAGTCTTCAGAAAGCAGCCTCACTGTAAGTTCATAGCGACATCCACAGTCAAATCTGGCAGCGTACCTAGAGAGGCAGGGAGTAATCAAGGAGCAGGGCTGTATGTACAGCATTCAGTTTTCTTTAGTGGTCAAAAACAGGCTCCAAGGGGATCCCCATCTGCAGAGGAAAAGGAGTATCATCCCCACAGCTATGACGAAGTTCTAAAAGCTTCCAGCTAGCCTGCTCTTCACAGGATTGCCACCTTCTTCCAGCCCATTGGAGAAACTGAGATTTAGCATACGCTTTACTCAAGAGCTAAAACTCCCAAAGGGTAAAGAACTAATTTTGTAGCATGAAAAGCTTCAGAGGCCTAGCTTATCTCTAGGCCAATGCCAGAAATTCTAGTTTTCACTGCATAAACTTACCAGTCCTTGACTACAATTTCAGGCCGTTTCTCATCCATCAACTGATTCCAGTATCCTTCTTTCTGCAGGGTAATGAGTTGAGACTTGAAGCATGGCCTGCAACAGCAATAGAAATACTCACAGCTTCACAAAACGCATCTCTTCCCTCTCAATGTCCGCACTTCCCCCGAGAGCTTTACTCTCCCCAAAAGCCCACTCAGACCTGGAAGGCCCACAAGGCTGGCGTGGCTAAGGCACGCCTTTTTCCGTAGCCAGAACTAGACTAGGAAGTGAACTGATCAGCTTCACTCCCAGCTAAAAGCAAGAGTTGCCTACGAGCTGGATTAAGAGGGGTCCCCGCCCTTGTACAGCATACATTGGCAACAGGAAACTACTGCTTAGTGGATGTAAAAGCAGCTAATCCTCGCTGTTGACAGCTTTTATTGCAAGCTGTTAGCGTGACAAACACACCTACCACTCTTAGAGGCTACAGAGCTTTGACCTTGTCAGGTAAGTGCATCTGATTGGCTCGCTAAACCTTCACCTTCGCCCCCCACCTTTGGTAGGAGAGCAGAGATCCCATATGGATTAACATGGCTATAAAAAAAGTTACAGGAAATTCCTGGCACGGACAGAGAAATTTGGCACATGCTGCGATTAATTCTCTCGGCAAACACCTCTCTCTTTAGACTAACTAGTATAAAAGGCTAATTAAACTCCTTCCTTTTCCCACACATAGGCTAAGTTTCAGTGACCTGCCTCAAGCCGCCTAGCCGTAGTGCCTTTGCGGACAGACAGGAGGAAGCAGGTCTCTGCTCCGGATTACTGGAATCCAGTTCTTACCCATATGAAGTGACAAAGTATTTGTGTACTTTGGAGTCTGGCATGTCTTTTCCATGGGGTCCTGGCAGATTCTCAATCTTCCATTTATCTCCATCATTATTATCAAGCTTCCAGTGCTGAAAGTTCTCTAAAAACAGATATCAAATAGGAGCGTTAGGACCTCTCTTTGGTTTCCAGCAGTATCTCTGCTTTTGTTAAAGAATCAGCCACAGAAGAATACTGGGAACAGACTTCAATGAGTTGTCAGATAGACTGTATTTTTCCTACAGCTGAAAGTGACTCCTGTCTTCATGTTGCCGTTACTTTTAATGTGGCTGTCGGCAGCTAGGACATAAGTAGCAACTTTCTGACCACATCAGAAACTCATAATCAGTAATGAAGTAGAATTACTGTAGTCATATTAACCAAAGTCTTTGACAACAAAAATTCCCCAGCTGCCCAAACGCTTCATCCCAGCACCCGACAGTTTCACTACCATATTGTACTTGCTGTGCAAATTAACCATCGCTGTCTGCAGCGCTGGGGCCTTAGCGACTCCAGAGACCTTTCTGGTTGCAACCACAGATCGGTATTTACCAATACTTTGTCTACCCACATTAGTTTTATTGCAGCTGTTTACTTGTGGGTCTGCCCCGGCAGAGCTCCATCAGCAGCTGGACAGTCCCACACCGCCAGCAGGACTTGAGTAAAGCAGGACACTGACTCATTCTGACTGTTAGGAAACTCTTAGCTCTCTACTATAAGTAATAAACAAACCTTCAGCACAGGGGTTTTTGATTAAGTTTCTCTTCAAGCTGCAGAGCATATAGAAGATCTTCCAGTCGGAGACGTTTCTGTCCAAACTCTGAATATAAAACCCCTCACGCTGGCACTTGCGTTTCCATAGGGTGGTCAGATCCACCACGTACCGCCACTGCCGGCAGACCAGCCTGCAGGCACAGATCAGATCCTGGGCTGGGAGCAGCGACAGCAGCTCCACCAGGACGTCTTCGGGGAGGTCGCAAATGGTTGTCATCACAGACCGACAGCTTCCCTCACGGGCTGCAGGGGTGCGCGATGGGGAATCCCGGGGCACCGACGGCACAGAGCTTCGGGAAATAAGCAGAGTTTTCACTAGTTACAAGGGAACGGCGCGGCAAACCGCCCGCCCCAGGCTGCCGGGCCGCCC